CATGGCAGACACCACACCAGGGTGTGGTGGAGCCTGTTTTGCTTATTCTTCACGTTTTTCTCAATTCCTTCCTCAATTTCGTCGCTGTTTTCACAATTCCCCACCTCGGCGAAGTTTTTTCAAAACTGAGCCGACACCAACCAAACCAAATGTCCCGCTTGTTCGTCAATGACGTCGTGGAAACCCTTCACGACAACGGACTCAATCCACAACAAATCGAGACCCAAATGAGAATGCGAACACTCTCCAAACGTCGATGTCTACTCACCAAATCGGCTGCATCAAAACTGACTGCCTACGTATCCTCTTGTCTAAGGAATCAAGTCTTCACGGAGTTCACCCAAATGGCTTCCAAGAGCCCTCAATCAAATGGAAAAGTCTGCAACTATTCCCTAATATCATCAACGGATCTGCAACTGATAGCGGCCCCAAACTGATACAAATCAAACACCTCCATCTGAGGTGAACCAATGGCCGTATCCAAATCATGTCCACCAGCTACAACCGAATCCAAAACGAATCCATCATCTGCATCCGAAATCAAATGATCCCCAACCTGTGCCACCTCAGCTGGAATCCCTAATGACGCAGTATGATCTGGAGTATGTGGAATAAGTTCCACCCAACGTGAAGTAGCATCACCCTCCACCTGCTGCGATATCCAAATGACCTGATCAACACTCTCCACCTGCCGAGAGTCAAAAGTGACATTCCTGCTCAGAACAAAATCAGAAGCTCCCAAACGATAATCAAATGAGCCTCCAAATCTCAAACTCGCAATCGGATCAAATCTCACATCCTCGATGTGACCAAATGCTGGGTAACAAAATATCCGACGCCAACCAAAATCTGAAGCAGCTCCACTAGATCCAATAACTCCTAATGCAGCAGCCGACGACCTATGACTAAGATGACTCAAATATGTCAAAACTCCAGAACCAGAACCAATGCTCGACAACCAACGCCGATCCTCCTTCAGAAAGGAACGACCCATCGAAACTGTCATCTCATCTCGTCGCCCCAAAGTCTCCACATCAATGAAGTGTTTCAAGTTTCCATGAGCTCGGCACAACCGCAAGAAAGGACCCCTACCAAAGCTAGAACAACAAGTTACCTTTCTGCCAATACACTTCTTCCAATTGTTGTTGACTTCTAGGACTTTACACCAACGGGAACTGGTCGCGACCTAATAATGCCTAGAACAATCACCAACTGCGAAAACTACAAAACGATTACCTCCCAATGATGCCTCCTTGGAAGGCCCCCAAATGCCTGACTGAACACCTCCTAAAAGACCCCTCGCTCAATGGATAGAAGTGCCTGACTCCACCACGGTCTTGCTCATCCCAATGTGCTCAAAGGACTTCCATTTGCATGTCAAAGCACTCCTCAACAACCTATGCACGGTATTACCAATCAAATAACCTAGCACCAAATAATGCCATAGTCTAGCTAAAGAAGTCGTCAGCGCTCTATCAATCACGGTGCTCCCAAACAAATAGTATAAGTTACTCCTGATGCCCTTCATCACAATCATGGACCCAAATGTAACCTTCAAACGTACATCCGCCAAGGTCACCCTATAGCCTGCTGCATCCAAAGCTCCAAGTAAAATGATATTCTTTTTTAACTGAGGAACGAACCTCACTCCAACCAACTCCCGAATCACTTTGTCACTCATCCTAATCCGAACGGTGCTAATATCACCAATAGGGCATTCATGATCATTACCCATGAACACGAAATCCCCTCTTTTTAACTCCTAAAAGCTGGAGAACCAATCCCTTCTAGGACAAATATGGTATGTAGCACCCGAATTCAACATCCACTCTGTAGAGTAGGCAACACAAACTGACGGCAGTGCAGATAATGAGTAACCTGAAGAATCCGAATCTGAATCGTTGCCACTAGCCTTGACAACATTCATCTCTAAAGCCTGAATAGCTTTTCCATTATTCTTCCCGGCTTGATCATTCAACTTTGGGCATTCAGTTTTACAATGTCCATCTTCTTTACAAAAAACACACTGATTCCTACGAATTCTAAGATGTGCCCCTCCAAACTGTGACCTTCTACCTTGGTTTGGACCCTTTGCTCTTGCAACCAATGCCCCCGCTACCGGCTCAATAGAAGTCTTCTTGTCCTTCTTCCTAAGTTGGTAATTCACTAATGTAGCGGTGATCTCACTATATGAAAGAGATGTCTTCCCATTAATAAGAGTAAGGACAAACGTCTCATATTCCTCGTCGGGCAAGGAACTCAACAATAGCAACGCCTTGTCCTCATCTTCAACAATAACATCTACATTCACCAAATCTGCAAGAAGCTTCGTGTAGTGGTTCATGTGGTCACTAATGGATATCTCATTCTTCAATTGGAAGCGATAAAGCCTCATCTTCAAATGCAAGCGGTTTTCAACGCTTTTCGTCAAGTACTTGCTCTCTAGGACTTTTTAAATCTTCTTAGCTGAAGTCTCATTCATCACATCATATTTTAGATCCTGAGTGAGACAAGACCTAATCACACCACACGCTGTCCGATTCATCTTTTTCCAAACCTTCTCATCAATGTCGTCCGGTTTCCCGTCTAACTCCAACGTATCTTCCAAATTCTGTGCATTAAGCGCATCCAAGACTTCGCATCGCCAAAGTCCAAAATTGTTAGTGCCATTGAACTTCTCCACGTCAATCTTCATCGAGTGGATACTCAAACTTTGGACAGTCTTCACACATGAAGAACCACCCTCAACTCCCTCTTTCTCGGCCATAATTCTCAACAAACCAACAACCAGTGCGAAAACAAACGAAGAATAGATCCAAAACTGAGAAAAGAAAGAAGCTTTACCCAAAAGATCCCACCTTTCTCACCAACTGAAACCCTAGACGAGCTTCCCAAATCGATCTACTCCTCCAAATAGCCCAAGCGTAGCCCGAGCTCTGATACCAATTGTTGTGCTCTAATATCAATTGTTGTTGAAAACCGTGTCGAGGAACCAAACCAAACGCCAATCAAAGAGGGCCAAAACCAACCAAAATCAATGCACAAACAAAACACTAATTTTAACGTGGATCGGCAAGTTGTCTACGTCCACGGGGCAAGGGGGATGGGGTTTTCACTAATAGAGAAAGAGTACAAACTGAGATTACAAATCACTCGAAGGAACAAACTAATCTCACCAACAAAACTCTTAATCTCTCCAAAATAAAACCCTAATCAAAAGCTTAAAAAATACATCTTTTGTGCTCCAAATATCCCCCAATCAATGCTTAATCAAAACTCAATCAAAGCCTCAACAAAGCCAAAGAAACCCTAAAAAACGTCTCTATTTATAACAAAACACAATCCCAAACTGATTGGGATTCTAAAAACGAGTCTGCCACACCCTGGTGTGGCACACACCACACCCATGACAAACAGGGCAGATTCTGCCACGTCAGAGTGTGACAGACACCACACCCATGGCAGACAGGGCAGATTCTGTCACACCCATGGCAGACACCATATCAGGATGTGGTGGAGCCTATTTTGTTTATTCTTCACGTTTTTCTCAATTCCTTCCTCAATTCCTTCGCCATTTTCACATCCTCTACCTTGGCATGGTCGTAGATTCTCGGCCGATCCAGGGTCAAACTGTCAGGGCGTCGAACTCCCCGCCGTTGTCGTACCGTAACCTGGCTCACCCGAGCTCTGACCGCTTCCGTCTTTGTCCCGAAATCTCAAGCCTAATCACGGAAATGCCACTGACTTCGACAACGAGTTCTATTCTCCTAAGGGATCGGAGAATGGCACCACGGCCACTGGATCCAACTTGAGGAGGATTTTTGAGGCGATTGCGGATAAATGCGGTTCTTTTTGAAAAGAAAACGAAATGCACATGACTACTAGTCTCGTGCAGTTCGCAAAAACACTTCAACAGCAAAACTGACCCTTTTCATCTGAAAAGGGTCGGTTTTGCTGATTTTTTTCAGAAACGGTTGATTTTGCTATATAAATTTCAAAAATGGGTGTTTTCAAAAATTTGTCCTTAATAAAATCAGGTAGCTTTGTCTTTCTAACAATGAAAAGCATTTCAATGATTCTACCAGCGAAGATGTTCAGAATAGTTCCTCGTAGTTGTGAGCACATCATTGCATGATTTATTATTTTCCTGTTTTAAGAAGTCAATGACACTTGATGCCAAATATAGGAAATTGCAAATTTGCCTTCAATTTTCCAATTGTAATATAACAAACTATGATAAACCCACAAGGTAATCACATAAACAATAGCTCGAAATTTATCCATTCATCAAGTCAACTTCAGCTGATACCATTGCCTTAATCTTTGTATAATGGCTTATTTTAATCCAGTCATGAGAACTACCTTGAATCGAAAGCTTTCAGCATTGAGCAAAATAGTTTCTCAATGATTTCAGGGTTCCAGCATCATCCTTCAAATAAACATTGTGCTAAGGAATGCACAACGTGTACCACTTGGACCCATATAAAATTGAGATGTCACTTGGAAAAGATCTTAATCTAGTATATTATTTGAATTGATAGCCAAAAAAATTAAACCATTTGTTATAGGATACTTCCAATATGTCTCCAAAAATAACCTAGAACAACTATGACTCAGACCAAGTGCTTGCAATGTCTCTAAAAATAACCTAGAACTATGACTCTGCCCAAGTTGGAAGAAAATGACGATCATCTTCTCTTAAATATTAACCACAGGAAACACCTATCAGGTTATGATAGAGAAATCCAAATTCAGATATAAAAGCTTGGCATTGGCTACAAAATAAAATAGAAGGAAAAGAAAGATGTTTCCTTCAATAATACTAAAGAAGCTAAAACAATGTGCTTATTAACTACTTTACAATGAAGCCAGTTGCAAGTTCCCATTTTAAATTTTCACAACTGCAACTTTTATGCAGCACACTTGGATTTGTTAAATTAAGGAATTAAGTATTCAATATCTATCTACGATCAGACATTCAAATACAAAAAATGTATTACCTAGACAGAAGACTGCTCTTTTGTTTTAGAATCAGCCAGTGGTGTCCCTATTTACAGCCCGGAGCCTCCTTAAGCCCTCTCTCAATCCCAAAACAATGAGCAAGTTGGTAATAGTAAGTAATGATTCTGCACCACCATGCAGCCAATCAACATTGGCCAAAGAGGTGCCATAGTTCACTTTTGCTGTTAGACAATAACAATTTCATAGTAAATATAACAGTTCTTGGTACATTAGATAGTTAAACCATAAATGGTAGAGAAGTTACCATAAATTCCAGCAGGGACTATTGACAACCATCGGTACATGCAAACAAGAAATGAGCAAAGGTAACTAAGAGCTTGATAAATTATATATTGATCTAAGAAATATATGAAATCTAAATAATGGACATTTTTTCACACGGGATAAGCTAGAACAAATTGTTTGATAAGCAATGAAATGAACAGAATAAAAGAAATCAAGAAAAGGCCTAGAGAACAAAACAACTTAAACAAGTCGAATAATTTTAAGAGAAATGGCTAGCAAAACAAACGAACAACCAGTTTCGCTCCAAATAAGCTCACTCAGAGAAACGAGTATAAGGCAGACGAGCTTCAGCCTGGCCATGGCATCACAAAAGGAAAGGTACGGTCGCCCATGATGGAAACCAAATCGCAATATCGGATTCTCTGGACTGTCACATAATCAATATTGTTTTCCGACTTTCTCGGAGAAGTCCAAATCTATGAAGCACAGACACGGACACGGCGACATGGACACGACACGGACACGGCAAAACCCAAAAAAATAGGACACAACAACACAGCTAGAATTTTTTAATATTATTATTATATATAGATAAATTTATAAAATTCAAACAATAAACTAAAATGTAATCCTCAAACACAAAATCCTAAAGTCAGGGGTGTTTTCAATGCCCAAGTCACTTAATTTGTAAGTTGTCCTACGTCTCTCTGCAGGACCCACATGTGTGTAATTTCAATGCCCAAGTCACTTCATTTGCAAGCTGTCTGCCATCACTCACCAGCTCATTAAAGTTCAAATAGAGAAATGATCTTAAGGGGCTGTTTGGTTCGTTTCCTAGATATAGGGAAATACATTTCCATGTATAAAAACACAAGTTTTGAGTTTTCCAAACTTTTCCAAGAAATAGATTGTTTCGCTTTGGTTCGTACAAAAAAAATGGTGGGAAACCAATGTATTTATTTTTCTTGTGTTTGGTTCGCATGGAAAAAAAGGAAAAACTTTTGTTTATATGGCAAAAAGCTGACGTGGCTGCAGTTTTCGTCGATTTCACGAGGTTGAGGAAGGAATTGGGGAAGAGAAAAAAATCTGATGTGGCGACGATTTTCACCGAGTTTCCCTTCTTCAACCCTAGCGAACCAAAGATGAGAAAAAAACCGACGGAAAGCTTATATCCTACGTGACCACGAAAAATCTGATGTGGAGGCGGTGTAAAACTTTTCCACCGAGTTAAAAAACGAACCAAACAGCCCCTAAATACCAAACCCAAGGCATAGATTTTCTCTTCTCACGAGGCATAGACTCTCTCTTCATACGAGGTGCTCACTAAAGGCAAGATAAAGATTTCAATGGAGCTGTAACAATAATCTCTCCCACAAGACCTCCTTCATCCGTGACCAGATCCAGCTCCTCCTCCTCCTCTGCCCCCTCCAAAAGACCATTTTGCCCTCAACCATAGCCCTCACTTGCACTAGTACCGCCCCTTCCCTCTAGTTTCGGTCACTGGAGCGTTTCGGCTTACCTGAATCATGAGCTAGGGTTTCGGCATCCTGCTCCGCCACGCGGCATTTAGCCGGCGGTGGCCTCAGTCGCTTGCAGTCTCCAGCACAGCCAGCAATTTCAAGCCGAAATATTCACCGGTTATTTCGACCAAAGAGATGCCGATAGAATTAGAGAACTCTATCGGCCAATGACTGCTCCCAACTTCCGCACCTCTTGACGAGGGCCAAAACGTCTCCTCCTGACGCAGCCGACGAAGCGTATTGTGGAGCTCGAGACCTGAGGTACGAGCCGACAAAGCAGACGAAGCGATAGTGCCGGTGTTCTTTTTGTGCTTCGCGAATGCTTCAGCCCGATCAGGTATGACAGTTGATAGAAATTTACGGGTTTAGGTTTGGGGCTTTGCGGTTTCAGCGTTTTTCTTGTTTTGCTTGCCTTCTCAGCCGTACTCCGGTGCGAACGAGTCCAGCCATGTTCTCTGGCGGGAACCGAGTCGACACGCGTGTCGGGGCGTTGACGCGTGTCGACGGCGTTGATCGCGTGTCTGACGCGTGTCGAACGCGTGTCCGTGTCCGACACGCGTCGGACACGGACTCGGGGCTTGTTTCCACGTGTCGGTGCTTCATAGGTCCAACTGACTCACCAATTGAATTGATAATCGTATTTGAGTCTAGTTTCCATCAAGATCGATTATGCTTAATTTGGATATCTGTGTTGAAAGTTATGGTGAGAATACCGACGGGTGGCAAATCTGGCTTGCATGAAGTCTTTTAAATTTCCTAGGTTCTATTAGTTGTCAATGTCATTAAATGTCTTTTAGATTCATGAACCTCTCATGCCTGAAGGCAATGTTTTAAAAAGCCTCCACCTACCCTATCTAGGCGTAGGCCTAGACTATACCTAGGCCGCTCTCCTAGTACCAAGCACCTAGGCCATACGTAGGTTGTCCACCTAAGCTTTAGGAATGCATAAGGGAGTGTGGGTTGCTTATATCGACTACATCCTTTAGGTCTTAATCGTGATTTCCTTTGTTCCAACCTCTACGTCCTCTAACCTCTTCGAACTCCTTGAAATTCCTCCAGCCTCCAACTATGAACACCTCCTCCTTTTTCTCCTTCAACCTTTAGCAAAACCTCCTCAACCACCACTCATACGAAGAAAGAAATCCACCCGCGTGTCAGCCCAACGCCTAAGATTTCTGTAATATTGACATTTACTATCAATCATTATAATTAAAAAATAAAAAATAGGAAAACTTCCTAGACCCCACCTAAGCTCCCACCTAGGCGCTAGACGTCGGGTCCAATGCCTAGGTCGCCTAGCATTTTTTGCAGCATTGCTTAAAGGGTTGTTTCAAGCCTACATATAGCTTCAAAATTTAATAGAAAAGTCGTCGTTAAGTTGATTAAAATTAAGTTTTGTGCCTTTATCCTTGCTCCACATTTCTTTGATAGATTCCACTGAGTGTGAGTGTTTATATGTATCTCTAATGTGGGGTTCTTGGAGTGGTGATTTGTCATAACAATCTAGAAGGGTTATATTTGTATCCTTAGAGAAAATGTGAAGCAGAATAAAAAGGCTTGAAGCAGAATAAAAAGGCTTGAAGAACTTGCCTTAAAGATCTACAACAGCTTCATGATCTGTCTTGCCTCAAAAATCTGCAGCGTGCATTGACCCAAGGAAACATTGCTCAGACTCAAACAATATCCAGGTACTTTCTACATCAAGCTGGAACTAATTGAAGAGCTCAAGGAACTCCAAATGAACAATCAAAGGCCATAAGTGTTGCGGAAAGCATTATTGATGAACATGCAAAAATTACACGGATAACGTCTGCATCTTATACCTTTCATTTAATCACAATTTCCTGCAGAACTTTTGTTCCTTATTTTCCTTTTTGATTCTTCAAACATTTGTTAAAACATTGATTGTACTGTTGTAGCTTATTCACTTAAACAGATAGGGGATTACATGAAAGTAGTAACCATTAATCGCTGTTTTGGCTGTGAAATTTGTTAAAACATAGGTTGTACTGTTCTAGTCCAATGCCACTTTCAAACATTTGACTTTGCAATAGTGATGAAATGGATTTATTGCTTTACTTTCAATGGGTTTAGTGTTGAATAGCTGGAGGAGGGAGAAAGACATGAGGGATTTCTTTTCAGTCTTGAGGGATAGAAGTTCATATATTATAATGCGATAATCACACGATGCATTTTAAATACAATTTTGAATCATGATGTGATAGCAGGTATTACAGCTAAAAGTCAGGTAACTTTGGGACATTACGGGTAAATATGAAATTCAGGGTACCAAAGTTTAAAAACAGTGAAATTTTATGGTAATAAAGTACATTTAAGCCAACTTTTTAAATCTTTATATTTCGAAGGTTCAACCTATCTATTTTGATATCTCTATTCTTGTCTTGCCAACTAATACAATATCATCTACAAACTACATCAAAGATGGAGCTCCATCCTAAATATGCTACTATGCTCATCAACAACTTATGCAAAGAGATAAGAACTCAATTTTGATCCATAACTTATGCAATAATTGTGGACCACTCAGCCGAGTCCATCATATATATCTAATTGCTTAACAAGTAATAACCAAAATGTCCAGATCAAAAGTAGAACTTCGTATGGCTTTACAACAACAACGACGACAACAAAAATAAAGCCTTATCCTAAATTTTTAGGGTAGGCTGCATGAATCCACTTCTTCCGTGCAGTTTTATTTTGAGTCATCTTCCTTGCTAATGATAATAATATCTTCCTTAATTGATTCCAACCAAGTTCTTTTAGGTCTACCTCTAGATATATTTTTCCTATTAACTATAATACTATTATTTTCCTAACTAGCACACTAAAAAAGCTAGGTTATACAAGACCAAACTATCTCAAACTGATTCTCTCTCATTCTATCTCAATAAGAGAAACCTCTAATATCCTATGAACGTACTCGTGTCTTATTCCATCTCATAGTTACACAATATGTAAAACATAGTGGGTCATGGTACGAATTCGAGTATGCGATTCACCACTTGGTAAAATTGGATGCAAAGGAGGATAGCTTGCTTCGGTACGCAAGTTCAGTCAATGATGTAGTGTAAATTCTTTTTGGGTGTGGTTAAATTTTTTCTAAGTATATAGTAGAAAACTAGAAACTAGAAAGCTAATTATGCATTTCAACAGTTTTTCATATAAAATACTCAAAATACTTCTTTGTTATAGAGTTCGTTTTTTGTTTTGTTTTTCTTTTCCCATAGTTCATGTTGGCAGCATGGTTTCATTTCTTGTTTTATTAACATACATATTTAATTACATTAAAGTCATTTGCTCATATATTCTATTGTGCGCTTTCACTCGGTTGCAGAGTTGCATCGTGTCCTGTGAATGGGCACTTAAAGGGACTTCTTCACCCGCACACTTGTAAATTGGTAAGCAAATTTTGGGGAACCAATTAGTGTGTCAGAAGGAATCAGTTCGCAAATGTATTAGGAATTAGTTTCTAGGAATTGTCCAACGGTTTGAGGGGGGTCCAAGGAATCGCGGAATTTAGTGTATACCCACAAGACCATTATAACATTCTCATTTATGCTTCACTCATTTCTTGCACATATTATTAATTGCCCAACATTCTGATCAATAAAGCATTGTCAGTCTATTATCCGTTTTATAGAATTTTGCCTTAAATCTTGTAGTTATTCTACAATCACGTAAGATTCCAAAAACACTATTCCTTTTTAATCATCCTGATTTGATTCAATGGACAACATCATCCTCAATATCACATCTTGATGAATGATTGATCTTAAATAACGAAAGTGGTTACTTTTAGGTATTTCGTAGGATTTTACAAATAGACCTAATTAATTAACTACTTTTATGAGAGGAAAGATGCCAGAATTACGGTCCAGTAATCAATCTATTTGCTCACCACGGCTCCCATCACTAAGGGCTTGTTTGGATTGAGGGGAATAAGGGTGAAGGGAAGTTAGGGGAACCATTCACCTTGTTTGGGAACATTTAGGAGGTGAAGTTATTCACCCTAGTTCTCCTTGGTTCACCTCCTAATAGTATAAAATTTGTTACCCCCCAAATTGGGGTGTAACCAAGGGGAAGGGAACTCCCTTTCCTTCCCTTCCATTCTCTCACCTAGTTTCCCTTAACTTCCCTTAACCTCATTGAAATCCAAACACACCCTAAATCGTGAACAGCTTTCATAAGAAACATTGAAGTGATTCTCATAATTAGCTAATACTTTTATCCCCAAAGTTTAGTATAGTAATACTAGTCTTCCAATGTATAATTAGTCCTTTACCCATATTAGGCAAAACAAGTTCATTTTCTCTAATTATTAATCCACTTACAAGACAAGCGTACAAGTAAACAGTCTTTGCTGAAATTTTACTACAGGTGCATAAGAAACCCAAATTCCTAACAAAACTTGATGCGGGGGGAATAAAGTAAGTACTCAACTTACAGTGCATAATCTGACCTCATTACCAACAGATAAAAAACAAGTCCCGATAAAATTCTAAAAGCAAATAAACAAGATGGGTGTCTATGAAACGTGCAGACATTTCATCAAAAGTTCATATGAAATAATTCAAAAGGAGACAGTGACCTACTCGTAGCGCCAACAAACGCAAGCAAGAAGTAGAACCCAACAAGGGTGAGCTTGGGGGCAGTCTTGGACTTGGTGATGAAGTACAAGAAACCCAAATAAGGGAGAAGAGAGGCAGCAAATAGCTGAGAGGCTACACTCTGAGAACCAATGCTGGGTGCCCACGGATCCAGAGGCAAAAACCCGCATCTAATCCTGAAACCAGGAGTTGAATTGTTGCTTGTTTTTGTTGATTTCTCAGAATTTCCCAAGCCTTTGATTTGGGTTGTTTTTCTAGTAAGCGTTTGGAGAAATTGGGGAGTTGGGTATCCAAGAAATCCGTTAAATGATGAGGAGAGAGGAGGGGAATTTAATGGGTTGACGATGCAGCAGCAAGAGATAGCCATTATATTGGCTTGGGAAGTGAGAAACTGAAGTTTGGAGATGCCTATTTTTGGGGTTGAATGAATACTTTGTTTTATCTTGAAACAGACAATCGGAGCAAGCTTTTGTGTGGCCTTTCTTCTCACAGCTAATAATTTGAAGGGGCACGGATATTGGACACCGATACAATATGGTGCGAATATTTAACAGAAATTTTAGAAATCTATAGTATAACCACTTTGTAGATACAACCATACAACATTGAAGTGAATTAGTGTTATTTATCTAGAATGTTACAAGTCTGTAAGTGTTCAGTTATGTATTAGGGGGGGAAAGCTTTCTTTGATACCATGTTGTATTCCTTAGTTGTGTTTTCTAGAAATAAAACAATTTGGTGTTGTATTTTTTCAAGTGTTTTTCCAAACCACCATGTTGAATGTTTTTTTCAATACTAGTTCGACCCTTTATAACGATTACTATTAAATAAATTGTTAATATATTAAATATTAATTATAATAAAATATATTATAAAAATAGTATTATATTTATTTTACATTATTATATTATTAATATTAAATATATACAATATATTGCAGTATAATGTATTATAACATTACATGTTATTTTAATATATTATATTATAATTATTACGTATTATTTCAAACAATAATGTATTTAATTATTTTGGTATATCAATTTATTACCATCATATATTATATAATTTTATTAAAGTAACTATTTTATTATCACTATAGTATTATACCATTATTAGTTATATTATTAATACTTTAACATTATATAACATATTATAGTTTTTAATATAGTAGAGTATATTAATAATACTTTAACAATATATTTATAATTTATTATATAAATGAAATTTGATATTATGAATATATTATAATTCCATTAACATTGATTACCAATATATTATTTTATTATTAATAATTTATTTTACCATATAATATATTAGATTATTTATTAAATAATATATTTATATTAATATTTATTATATTACATTTACAATATTTATACTATATCGTTATTTTGTTATTATTTAATTGTTAAATAAATTTGTGTTTTTCATGTTGATTAAAATTATATTAGTTATATATAATATACTAAAAAACCAAAACACCACACTCAAAACACTTAAAAGTAGTCGTGCTAAACTGTATCTGTATCCAAAGAAATATCTGTAACTGTGTTCGTTAGGATACGGATATGGCTACTCAAATCTATAACTGATAGGATATTATTACAGATATGGTCTTGTAGTGAAATATACGGAGTCGTATCCGAAATATCCGAATACATATTAGTCATGCTCTTACGATGGTTTTAATTCTTACATTATGGATTTGTGGTTAATTTTGATGCTCAAGATATCTAATCTTAGCTTTTCAGTGATAATGAACATATTAAAGAACTCTTTTGTACCACATGAACTATATTTTTCTCAATATTATCTAGTTTTCTCATATCCATTTTGTATCCGCATGTATATCCGTTTATATATGTGCATGTATATCCATAAGCATATTCGATTTTAGCGGATATGAATATGAATTATTCTTACCGAGATATATTTGTATCTGTATTCGTATCCAAGATGGGTAAGTGGATATGTATAAGGTAAGTATCATATCTGAGTCGTATCCGGACCGAATACACCCTAATCTAAAAGGGATTTTAGAATAAGTGTTGTGTTTTTTGTTTAATGATGTTTTAGCTCAAAAAAATCATGGTTTCCAAATACATAGTGTCTTGTTTTTGACAAAAAACACCTTGAAAACAATAAAAAAATGCCATGATATCCAAACGCTACCTTAAAATCAAAGATTTGGGCTCTGTGCGCATAATAATATTAAAGTTACATAATGTCATTTATCTAAAGCGCATAGGGCTATATTTGTTATGAATCAATTCTGGAATGAGTATAGGAATGGATAAATTTTCTTGAAACTTCACCCTTCAACCAATATGCGACGCCCAACAATGGAACCCTCTTAAAAATCCTATTAGACCATCCATATGCGAGTGGTGTAATTTACACCACAAATATAATTGCTACAATTCCCAAACAAAGCCTCTAACCACCAATGAATAATACAAAATTAATCCATTCTATGCATTTTTCTTATAACCATGAATTCCCCCCAGTAACTTTTTTTAATAGATCCAAATAACTAGTTTTATCCATGTACTAACGCTGAACAAGGTATTGGGAATTCCGAATACGAAGCTAAAAGTGCGCTCAGCTAGCAACCATAAAAACAAACCCCTTTCTACAAGAAGTTCAAATACAAAACCATACTACTCTAGCCTCTAGAATTCTAACGGATAATCAATTTATAACTAATTGACTCTTTCGGTTTTTACATGAATATAGATCATGAGATATTGCCAAGCCTTCACAAGAAGCAAAACACTGCTAAGGCCTGAAAACAAGCACGATGCAAGAGATGAAAATTCACAACTCCGCCGTTGATACCCTATCCGATTGCCTTATTGTTGCCCTCCAACGCATTCAAGAGCTGCTTGCTCGTGCCAGACACCATTTAAATCAGACTGCCATAAACGAACCATTTGATCGCCTCCTGTAGATGCTAACGTCATACCGCTCATGTCCCATTCCAACTGCCAAACCTACATAGAGGCAACCAAGGATGGAATCATTATGTTAAACTTTAGAAAATCAAGCAATTCAATAAGTAAATGAAAACAAAGTGAAATGGAAGATAAGGTGAGCAAGTGACAATAAAGATGTCTGATGCATAACAGGTGAAACATATGATGTACTTTCAAAAGGTTGTATTTCAGTACAAAGTTAGTATTTTGGGGTACATAATAATAATTTTAAATTATTTAACATGCACAGGATTATTTGTAGCAATGTTGTAAAAGCATTCAGGCTTAGAAAACTTTCACTATTATCGTAATCAATTTTGCTCAAAACTGCCAAATAACCTGCGAGGGAATGTTTGAATGAAGAACTTGAGGATAGCTCACATGATGACTAAGTAGGGTATCTAGAATATCAAAAAACTTTGGGTGTTTATGCCATAAAGGCCTTGTCAGAGACATTTCTTACTTGGAAATTCAAAAATTTTTGTGCAAACTGAAACACTATGTCCATATAAACGCATATTTGCAGAGGACATGTTGTGGATATTAACAAGATAAACACATTACCCATATGTTGTATATTTTGTAGGTACATTAACTAGAAAGTAGAAACAAGAAAGAAATAATGATACAGGTGTATCTTCTCTTCGGAACTTAGCGATCCTTATGGGAGCTTGATGATAGATGATTCTCATGATAGCTTGAGAATAGAGATGTAAAACAGCACAGTGGAACGCAGGTTGAAGCGTGGAACGAGACGGCGAATCGAAGAATCGAAGCATCCAGTTTTCAGCCCGTGAGTCGACTCATAACAGTCATGAGTCGACTCATCAGGTTGAGTCGACTCATGCTTGTCATGAGTCGACTCACGAAACCCAGCCATTTGTCACCAGTCTCTGACGAGTCGACTCATCTCAGTCATGAGTCGACTCATTGTTGGTTTTGTGTTTTGTCCAGTTTCGCACGAGTCGACTCATCTTAGTCGTGAGTTGACTCATCGAAGGTTTCCTAGTTCGTTTGGGTTTCTGTTTGCACGAATTCCTGTTGGGTTTGGGATTGGTTATTTACCACTTTGCCATCTACGTTGTTATACCTATATAAGGGATTGTTTAGGGTTTATAATCAATCAGATGTAATCAAAGAGAGATTCTAATCAAGAGAGATTGGGCTTTAGAGAGAATTGAGAGTTTATTCTCGATTCTAGTGAGATTTTGAGAGAGGGATTGTAATCTTTTCATATCATAATCTAGAGAGGGTATTTTCATTCGCCACATACTGAATTATTCTTGTATTTCTGTTATCTTCTTCTCAACCCACCTTTGATAATTCTGCAATCAAAGGTGCTCGCACGACGATTCGTATCAAGTTGGTATCAGAACGATCAGATTCGGTAGAGGGGGCATCCTGTGTACGGTCCTGACTCGATTGCAATACAAGAAGCTAGGCGAGATCCTTATTTTATTGAAAGAAGTACAGAAATTAAGAAAGAAGATGACTGAAGGAGACAGTTTAGCAATGCTAGATGCATTGGAGAAGCAGATGGAGACAATAGGTTCGACCCTCGTGCAACTCGTCAATCTTATCCAAGACAAAGGAAACAAGGAGAAATCTTCTTCGAAAGGCAAGAAGAAACTTGTGGAGTCCGATGGAAAAGGCGAGGATTCTGATTCAGATGAGGAGACCCGTATTGTTAAGTCTGTTTCACACTAAGGGGGTAAGGGTTCTTACCAGAATTTGAAGATAGACTTCAAAGTAAAGATTCCTGTTTATGACGGGAGTGTCAATGTCGAGAGGCTTGATGATTGGATCGAGCGGATGGAGACCTATTTCACACTACGGATAATTATCCAAGGAGAAGCTCGTGTTCGCGATTTTGAAGCTTTCGGGGCATGCATTGACATGGTGGAAATCCTATTACAAGTAGGAGAAGAAGACGATATCGTGGAACAAATTCAAAGAACTACTTAGAAAACAATTCTATTCGGTAGGGTTCCTCGAAGAGCGTTGGTACAAGTGGTACGGCTTGCGCCAAAGAGTCAATCAAACCGTTCAAGAATACACCACGGAGTTCCAGCAGCAGGCGATGATCCTCAAAATTGCGATAGAGGAATATTCTGTGTTTATGAAGTATATGACGGGATTGAGCGATTACATCCGGAAAGAGATGAAGTTATTCACGGTGAAATCTATTACAGAGGCGAGCGTGAAGGCTATTGCCATCGAAGGCAAGCAAAAAAAGAGCAACGAAGCAAAGGGAGATGCAAAGCAAGTTGGAGGCGAGTCTAGTGGTTCTCAATCTAAGGAGGAGAGGAAGAAGGGTGATCCAGAGAAAACCGGGCTGATTTGTGGTCATTGCAAGAAGACAGTGCACGTAGCTGATCGGTGCTGGGAAAAGTATCCTCATCTCAAGCCACGAGGGTTAAAGAAAAAAAAAGAAAAAAAGACATACGTGATAGCATAGGGTCCGAAGGAAGTTCCTGGGATGACAGAGCCCAACAGTAGTCTCACTCTTATGACAGGAAAACAGGCCACGAAAGAGGACGAAGACCCCCGAGAGCAGTTCTTTGTGATGAAGTTACAAGTAAAGACCAGTTTGGTTGATGCTATTGTTGATCTAGGCAGCGAAAAGAATTTGATATTCGAGACCTTGGTTCAAAAGCTGGGTCTGAAGACAGTCAAGCATCCGAAACCCTATCCATTAGGGTGGATTCAGAAGGAGACGGGACTGAGTGTAGTTGATTAATGCACTTTTAGATTTGCGCTTCACGAGTAGAATATTGACGAGGTCACATGCGATGTCGTTCCATTGGATGTTTGTCAGGTTATACTGGGTAATCTGTACTTGTGGGATAGATACGCGATCTACAAAAGGCGGACTCAGAAGTACACATTCACCAAGGATGGTGAAAAGTTCATATTTCATTCGGCGTCTCTTCCGTGGGAGGTAAATTTAGCGACGGTGACGCGGGCGAAGAGGCTAGTGAATGCAAGCAAGAAGTTCGTCTCGTTGTACATTAGATTTCATGACGAGCCATCGAAAAGGAGTTGCATCTTGGAGCGGAAGACGACTACGATAAGACGAGGAACGAAGGAGTCATTTCCAGTTGTACGTCGATATCAGGTTCCTAGCAAAACCAGATGGTACAGAAAGGATGGAGGGGCTCGCGAGTTTCCTCAGCTGAAGTTCTAACTTAAACGGGACTTCAAGTTCCTAAAGGGAACCCATGATACGGGTGCATCTTCTCTTCGGAACTTAGCGATCCTCATGGGAGTTTGAGGATAAATGATTCTCATGGTAGCTTGAGAATAGAGGTGTAAAACAGCACAGTGAAACGCAGGTTAAAGCGTAAAACGAGACGGCGAATCGAAGAATCGAAGCATCCAGTTTTCAGCCCGTGAGTCGACTCATAACAGTCATGAGTCGACTCATCAGGTTGAGTCGACTCATTCCTGTCATGAGTCGACTCACGAAACCCAGCCGTTTGTCACCAGTCTCTGACGAGTCGACTCATCTCAGTCATGAGTCGACTCATTGCTGGTTTTGTGTTTTGTCCAGTTTCGGACGAGTCGACTCATCGAAGGTTTCCTGGTTCGTTTGGGTTTCTGTTTTCACGAATTCTTGTTGGGTTTAGGCTTGGTTATTTACCACTTTGTCATCCACGTTGTTATACCTATATAAGGGATTGTTTAGGGTTTCTAATCAATCAGATGTAATCAAAGAGAGATTCTAATCAAGAGAGATTAGGGTTTAGAGAGAATTGAGAGTTTGTTCTCGATTCTAGTGAGATTGTGAGAGAGGGATTGTAATCTTTTCATATCATAATCTAGAGAGGGTATTTTCCTTCGCCATATACTGAATTATTCTTGTGTTTCTGTCATCCTCTTCTCAACCCACTTTTGATAATTCCGCGATCAAAGGTGCTCGCACGGCGACTCGTATCAAATAATGTCATGGCAGTTTTAGATTAAAAAAGATAGAAGAGCAAACATAATAATATGGTGGATGAAGTTTATTAAAAATGAACAATGTATATCATTCTTTGATGAAGGAATACTATTCCAAAATACATACTTCATACCTCGCCATCATGACCTTCTAGTAATGCAACCTTATCCGTTGGGAGTCTTCCATCCGACTCATGGGTCAATCCTACATGCCATATTGTGATCCCCTTGCAAGTTGCAACAGCTATCACCTCGTATGGCCTACAAAGAGTTCAAGACTTCTATTACAAATCAATTTATATTCAGAAGAACAATCGGATTCTTAAATTTGTGTGATATCAGCAGACAGTAAGCATGGTCTAAACTAAAAGATAGATTGATAAAAGTAAAATGCATGTAATAGTCTAACAGGTATTAATATATGGTATCATACATTTTTACAAGTAGATCGACATTTTAAGTAGCTGGCCACAATCATGTCATAATACACTAAAAACACGTGTAAAATAAAAATAGATTACTTGAATAATCAAACTTTTTGACTTCTCAACATAAAAACTATAGAGAAGACAGCAGGCTATTACCTGCCTATATTAGGTGCCCAACCTATAGCATATACTCTATCATCACCATCTCCAGGTGAACACAGCTCAGCAACTGGTAGCCACCGCTGATGAGCCTCTTCAAACTCCCAAATCTGTTATAAAACTTATCCCATGAGACCTTTCTCGTATTAAAAAGTATATGCTTCCCTTCAATAAAGAAACACAAAAGAAGCTTAATACTATGGTAGACCTATGAAAGGAAAGGCCTATTATATCACTAAATCACAAAATTATTCCAGAAGGAAACAAGAGTCCTTGCTATGGCAAATGCCACTGCTTCAAAATGAAATGGTTACAGAAATTAAACATGTAATAAATGGAAATTCAAAACAAACCTTGGGGGAATTGAATTGAGAAAGATCTGAATTATAACCGAGCACAAAACTTGACTTTTGACTTTCACCTCTTTGTGGATTCCATGCAAGGGATGCAGATATGCATGATGGCTTTCCATATCTACAAACTGAATCAATCACATTCTGGAACTCTGCCTACAATGAAAGATTAGGAGCAAACAGAGTGACATACAATACAATTAAAGTGACTTTACAGAAACCTAAGAGCCATAAAAGGATAGTTACCAAATGCGATAACTGATTGGTAACAAAAAATTTGGGCTAAGGAAACCAATATCTTCATTCCCTTATTGATTCATGAGAAAATGAGTCTAAGCTAATGGTTTGCTTCAAGTAAAAATTGTAGAAACTGCATTACGCCTATAAGGAAGCATCTGTAAACTATTGTATTCTTGCTTATAAATTCAAAGAACAAGTAAACAGCATAATATTGGAAATAATGTTATAAAAGTCAATCTGAAATAGTTTTCAGCATTATAAGGAGGTATAGCATAAGATTCAAAGCATTTTCAACATAGAAAGGCATAAAGTTGAATACTGGAGAAAGGGCAAAATTTGCGTCCTTTATCATGTTATATTTTAACAAAGCTTTAGCGGTCAATCTATGAAAGTTATAACCTGAATTGAATTCTTGTAGAATATAGACAAGCCATAAAACAGTAATTAAGGGTGCAAGATACTTTGGAAACACAATGTTGATCAGGAACAGTATGTGAGAACTCCAGCAGGAAAGTTTTGCTCAGCATATTTCTTGAACACAAATTTTTGGTGAAAACAAGAAAGAACTAAACCTGAAGTTGCCACTTGTTCAATTGCAAAGGGTCCATAAGTTCATACACCTTCATATGGCCATCTGTATATGCAGCGACCTAAAAGTAGGATGATGCAGTTAGTGATGTAATACCATAAACATGTAGGATAAGCCAGCTACATAAAAAGGCCAAAATTTGGTGATAAAGAGAAAAAACTAGTTCGGATATTGGAAAAGGCAGGTTACAGATCTTAATATTCCTCACGATCTGTATTCAATTGCAGTTTGTAAAGAATTGAGAAAATAGTTTCAAATCCTCCATTTTAGTTCATTGATTCTTGAATCACTATCCTACACAATGTTTTAGAAAGCGGTAGGCATTTCTGGGTGCCATACTCACGTTTTTTTAATTTCCGTGAAATATACAGAACTCTTTAAAGGCGCACGCACGCACACACATAGACTGACATACATACATAAACACACACACACAAATCAAGAGAGAAGAGAAAAGTAAGAAGAAAGAAAGGATATAATTTTTAAATAAAACTATGATTTAAATAAATCAAACTAAAATTTCTTTTCAGATATATGAAATTTAACTTTTCTTCTCAAATCTGGTCGCAAGTGGCTCCAACAATGGTCACACTAAAAGACCAATTGCTATAGCAGTAGTCCAATGAAGGAGAGTCAGACAAGGGAAACAGAGAGAAGAGAAGAAGTTTGTTTAAAGATCAACATCCTAGACTCTCTTTTCATTAATTGAAATTACAACCCGAGCTTTCTAATTCATTCTGACCTAACTCGCAATCTTCATGGGTTCACCCCTATACTTAAATGGACTGCACAATAGTTTTTTACGCGGAATGGCACACTTGACAGATAAACTATATGCAGAAAATCACATACCCAACTTCAGTTTTCAGCTTTTGCCAGACTCAGGTATAAGATAACTATTGGGCTTCTCCAATTTTCAAATGGTACATTTAAAATGAAAATTTGTCTATTTACTTTGCAGAACAACCTCAGACAAGAGAATGAAAAAAAAGGACAACGATAACATCAACATATGATGTTTGCAAATTGGCAAGTATAAAGGATCAAGAAAAAAAGCATATTGAAAAATACTTTTGAAAAAAAGACTGTTCTTGAATAGAACTCACCAATTTTAAACTTGTAGCAAAACCCCCAAATTGGACTTGAAGCACTCCTGAACTAGCGCTTTCGAAGACTTTACACTGTTTCCACATAAGTGGTTGAGTATCTGGGAAACATTTTGCATAGGAAGATAAGGATATTAATGATTAAAAAGAGACTATGATATTAAATGAATAAAATTGGACACATGAATACATACCCTCTTCAACTTCCTCCCACAAAGATAATGTTCCATCAATGCAGATGCAAGCAATAGCATCACCAAATTCTGGAGGAACCCAAACAATATTGGTAACTCCACTCTCATGCGCCTATAACAAATGGAAAGAGATATATATATATATATATCAAATCACATAACGATTTACAAACAAAGACCACAGCCTTATGCTCAACATAATTTTATGAATGGTTACTCCCAATAGGAAAACACCTTTACAGATGTAGTGTTGGAACTAGACCTCAAGAAATATAAAGTGGAATAAAGTAAGCTAGAGATTATGTTAAAGAAGACTCATACATAGCAAAAAACACTCATATACATAGCAAAGTTAGTAACCTATTCACCATATGCTTTGCACTTTATTTCAACCATTCACCTACTACTAGGGGTGCCAAACGGTTCGGATATATCCGAACCGATCCGTATCCGTATCCGAACGGATACGGATATGGTAAGCTAATTTTGAAACCGGGCGGATATGGATACGGATACGGATCTGGTTTCGGATTTTTTTTCGGATACGGATTCGGAAACGGATATGAGGATTGCGGATACGGATATCCGCAAATGTAATAATAATTCGGGTCCCAAAATTACAATTACAAACCCGTAACCGCTAACCCAAACCCGTAAGTTTGTAACCCTATTCCCAAACTCCCAGCCCATTCCATTCTTCTGCCTCCAGCCGCCACTAAAGTTTCCAGCATCCGCCTCCGTTCGTCAGATCCTCCGTTCTCCAGCTTCCGTCTTCGTCGTCTTTGCCGTTCTCCGTTCGTCGTTCTTCGTCTTTGCCATTCTCCGTTCGCCGTTCGTCATCGGTGCCGTGCAGATCTCATTCAGCTTTGTTTTCGTCGGATCTGGCCGTTGACCGATACCCTGCTTCTGCAGAGGAACGAGATACGGTACTCGTGGTTGTGATTTTTTTTTTGTGGTGATCTCTTATCTTGCATCTTTATATTTTCACGCTTGTTATTATTATTGTTGCGAATTATACCGAGATTGAGAAATAGAGTAATTGTTTAAAAAGATATATCACTTGTGTAGAGATTGTCAACTGTGGCTTGGATTGAAGACCGCCAGTGAAGACAGCTGATGTAAATTTGTAGCAGCCAACATTTACATCTTGCGGGCATCTAAAGGATGAGCAAAGAATTGGTAAAGGTGAACTCTTCAGCATAGTTCTCACCTTCAAGTCTGCAATGGCCCCTAATTGTCTTGTTTTCGGAAAATGATTACTAAAATACCTTAATTAAGGAATGAAATTAAAAAGTGAATAATTACAAAGTAGACTACTTTTAAAAGTGAAACCTTTGAAGAAGAAGGGGATATATTTTCTGCTACCTTCATGGATTGACATAGGAATTTTGTCAAGCAATGTAACTCTGTTTGGAATTCTAGAAATTATATAGGCATATAATTTTTAGTTTGTTGAGTGTTCATGTACCCACTAACTCGTACAAATGTGTATTTTGTTGTATTTTTCTCGAGATTTTTTTCTCATTATTGCCATCGCTTATTGAGTGTTAACTTTTTTGAATTTGGATATCAAGCATGTAAAACATTTTCTTGTAGTTTCGTTGTCTAAACATTTGAACAAAGGTTTCTATCTTTCTAGTATTAATGCACATATATATATGTTTGATAATTGTTTTCATATATATTTGTCGAATATCCGTTTATATCCGTGATCATATCCGATCCGATTTTCAAATATCCGAACCGTATCCGTTTCCGATAAGTGCGGATATGGTTAATGTTATTTCTTACCGAAGATGATCCGTATCCGTATCCGTATCCGTTTATAAAAAGCGGATATGGATATGGTAAGTGTCATATCCGAACCGTATCCGCTCCGATAACACCCTTACCTACTACCCTATTCCCCTACTACTAGCTTACAACACCATTTGTCAAAGAAGAACAAGCATGAAAATCATGCAAGCTAATAAAGTTTGACCATGGCCACATTTATGATTTTCAACAGCCACTCTTAAATTGACCATTGAATAACTTTGAGCATGTCAGCCTTTCAGATAATTCTGCCTTCAGTGGTTTTGTCAAGATATCTGCAACTTGATCTTCAGATTTGCAGAAATCAAGTTCAATCTCTTCATCTTTAACAACTCACGGATAAAGTTGACCATGGCCACATTTTGATACTTTATCCCAAAATGTTTGCTTCTGCCATGAAAGATTGGATTCTTTGCCAGCGTGATAGGTGACTTGTTATCACACATAATCTTGGTCAGACTTTCTAGTTCATGCCCTATGTTACCTGGGTGCTTCTATTAGGAAGTTGTACCCCTACCCGACAAATATCCGTACCCATACCCAAACCTCTTGGACACTTTTTGAATATAAGCGTATGTTTTTTCGGGCCTATGCTCAATTATATAATACATGTTCTAATATAAAACACTCCTCGTGCACTTCTTGGATGTATATTTTACACTTCACATCTATTTCTCGTATAGTGGTCTTATGTAAATGGAAAAACAATATTGATCTTATGTAAATTATTAATTTCAATACATATAAATATACATAACATACATATATATATAGCCGTGTCCCCGTACCCTACCTTTTCCAATTTTGCCATGTTCCATACTCGTACCCATACTTGTACCGTGCAACCTAGCTCATGCCTTAATTCATTGATCATGCGTCACAGCCACACTACTTGACACGTTATAAAGGCTGCTGCCATGTGTTCTGCTGCAACAGTTGATAAAGCTACCACCGCTTGCTTTTTCGATGAGCAAGAGATAATTCCTTCTCCAAGAAAGAAAGCATACCCCGACGTGCTCATTGTTCTTCATAGACAAATGATGTCATAGGCTAGTAGTTGGGGAATAGGATAGCGTGTGACTGGTTGATGCAGAGTACATGATGAATAGGTTAGTACTTCTGTTATAGGATAGTGTGTGTGTGTGTGTGTGTGTGTGTGTGTGACTGGTTGATGCAGAGTACATGATGAATAGGTTAGTACTTCTGTTATAGGATAGTGTGTGTGTGTGTGTGTGTGTGTGTGTGACTGGTTGATGCAGAGTACATGATGAATAGGTTAGTACTTCTGTTATAGGATAGTGTGTGTGTGTGTGTGTGTGTGTGTGTGTGTGTACATGATGAATAGGTTAGTACTTCTGTTATAGGATAGTGTGTGTGTGTGTGTGTACATGATGAATAGGTTAGTACTTCTGTTATAGGATTGTGTGTGTGTGTGTGAGTGTGTCAGAGTGTGTCAGAGTGTGTGTGTGTGTCAGAGTGTGTGTGTGTGTGTCAGAGTTCGATGAGCAAGAGATAATTCCTTCTCCAAGAAAGAAAGCATACCCCGACGTGCTCATTGTTCTTCATAGACAAATGATGTCATAGGCTAGTAGTTGGGGAATAGGATAGCGTGTGACTGGTTGATGCAGAGTACATGATGAATAGGTTAGTACTTCTGTTATAGGATTGTGTGTGTGTGTGTGAGTGTGTCAGAGTGTGTCAGAGTGTGTGTGTGTGTCAGAGTGTGTGTGTGTGTGTCAGAGTTCGATGAGCAAGAGATAATTCCTTCTCCAAGAAAGAAAGCATACCCCGACGTGCTCATTGTTCTTCATAGACAAATGATGTCATAGGCTAGTAGTTTTTTCTGAGATTGTAATGCATCCTCTGAGTATTCAATAAAACGACTATCAGAGAAAAGCCTCCCCCGCACCACTAATTTTCTTTTAGTATCAGAGACGGGTAGATCTTGCAGGGTGATTGAATCATGTCATCTGAAAATTTGATTCAGTTGCAACTTCCAAAGTTCACTACGAGTAATTCTATAAATTGGTCGTCTACTTGAAAGTATTTTTCAAGTCACAAGATTTATGGAATTTGGTGGAGACAGGGGCTACACGGAAGTTGTTGGAGAAGCATTCAACTCGACAAAGAAGAAGAACAAGCACACAAAAAAGGCTGACCAACAAAGTTTGACCATGACCACGTTTATGATATTCAATAGGTCGAAGCTGAGAAAAGATAATAATGTCCTAAAATATACGGGTACAAAGCAACAACGATAACAAAGGATTTCTCCTAATATTATGGGTCGACTACATGAATCTTGTTGTTCCATTCAGTCATGTTGAGAGATATTTCTCTCATGAAGTTAATCACTATCATATTCTTCTTAATCACTTCAAACTAAGGTCTCTTAAGCCTACTTCTAATCCTCCTTGCTTCGTTAATTATAACCTTATCACTTCTCTTTGTGTGCATTTAGTGGCTCCCATTGTATACGGCTAAACCATCACAATTGGCTCCCTCGCATTTGTCCTAAATGGGAGCGTAGCAACCTCTAACCTTCTATAAATGAACTCATATTTATCTCTGAGTGTATATACACACTTCATTGTAACATCCTCGTTCATGTTACATCCATTTTTCACATGTTTCCTTGACCCCTAAAGCATTGTCAGTCTTAACCTATGGTACAATTTTTTTCGTTCAGCTCCATCGCTATTCTGCGATCACATAGGACCCTAAGAACTCTCCGCTTTTACCATCAATGAGTGACATGAGGCTCATCATCCTCAATCTCACCATTTCGGATGAATGATTAATCTAATAAAACAAAAGTGATTATTTCCTGACCGGTAATATGTACTATAAATTATCCCTTCCCACAGTACCACTAAGTCCATATAT